GGAAGAAGTCCCTCAAAGCCCAAGAGGATATATTAGAAATGGAGGTAAAGGGGCCAGTCGTGGACTCATGTCCACAATCCTAGTTCTTTGGGAGGCCAAGGCAGGAGGATCGCTTGAGCCCAGGAGTTTGAGATCGGCCTGGGTAACATGGCAAGACCCCGTCTCTAAAAAAATAAAAAAAAATTAGCCAGGCGTGGTGGTGCACACCTATTGTCCCAGGAGGATCACTTGAGCCCCAGAGTTGGAGGCTGCAGTGAGCTCTAATCACACCACTGCAGCCTGGGAGACAGAGTGAGGCCCTGTCTCAAAAAAAAAAAAAGAAAAGAAAAGACAAGACATGGGGGTGTGGGGGTAAAGGGAAAGGAATGTTTTCAAAGAAAACTAAGAAGAAACTCCAGCTTTCAGAAGCCAGAATGAGAAAAGTTGCCACCAAATTTGTATGTGATTTAAACACATACAAATATTGAATTTCTTTCAATATTTAAAATAGAACAAGTATGAAAATGTTTCCAAATTTCAAAAAAAGGATACTTTTAAAATTCACGATTATTCTTTGGAACTTGAACCAATATCCTGTTTATACGCTTATTTTTTAAATTTCCCTGACAAATCACTTTTTGTTACCAGGCTATTCCAGTGTATAGTGATTGGCATATGTTAGCATCATATTATGTTTTTCTTTGCTTTTGTTAAAGGAGCTGTAGAACATTTTTAGTATACAAGAAACAAACATCCAGAGATGGCACGATGGCACAGTGCAGAGGGACGGGGGCATTCCAGGGAACAGTGACAATCACAGAGTCATCTCCAAACAACAAAATGGCAAAAAGGCGATTCCTTACCTGCTGAGCTGTAGCATCCTGTTGGACATACGCTACCTGGCCTGGGTCTGTAAACAGAGTCTAGACCAAAACAACAAAAAAAATTATCAACAGATCTTTAGACAGCCTACCTACACAGGAAAAATTATCCTACTACTAAGCACCAATTCTTGGAAGAGTGAGCTCCCATTATAGCTAGTAATAATCCTTCATTAATAAAGAAGATAAGGATAGTAATCTTACATTTAGCCAAAGCCTTTCATTCAGATGGCTCCAAAGAGATTGCGTAAGCTGACCATCCTAAATGGCTAACATACTTCATGATTTTACTCTTAAGCAAAGCCTCTCTTGAGGTTGAACATCACAGCTAATTAAAAAGGCATGTCACAGAAACAAAAAAGACATGACATGAACGAGGGTACATAGGTACACGCTTAACACTGCTCACAGGAACAGACCTGTGATTAAATGAAAATGGACAAGACACGCAGGCACACGGAAGAGAGTTTGCACACAGGGTTACAACTCCTTCCAACACAAACGCACATTGATAACCAGGAGGGAAATAGAAGGAAAATAAATTAAACTTAACACTTCATAGGTTCTTTTTTTGGATAAAGTCAGTAAAGTCATAATTAAAAAAAAGACCTCTAACCATCATAAACACACAATAAATTGGGTCATGAAGCAGCAAAGTTAAGTGGAGAAGAAAAATCTTCAAAACTATTATAGTCAAGGCACCATTGGTAATATCTCTAATCCAGAAAACTACTCTTTCTTCTAAAGCTTTTAAAAGTTTTTAATTTACCCAGGCCTTTAGCAAATCTATGGGAAGAGGAACTATGGTTAAGTTTTGATTCCAGAGGAATGTAAACAAGATTTTCAGCCAAAGTCAGACTTCTTAAATTTGAGATTAAAAAATTATCATAATTCAGACATTTGGTAACATCATAATAAACTAAAAGTTGGGCATAGACATTCTTTACAGAAACCATACGATCTTATTTTAATACAGGCAGGGGACTGAAACTAAGCAGAGGCATTCCAAAAGTGCCATCCAAGTATTTGGTGATTTCATCTGTATACAGGTTTTTAGGAGTGATTTGAGCCTCTTGATTAAATATTGAATGAGGGAAAATTTTTATTACCAGGATTCTACTTCAAAGTATGGAATTTCGTTTTTAAAAACATATATTTAAATACGCTTCATGCATTGAAAAGCACTAACAGTAGAAACTAACATTCGTACATTGGGGGATATTTGTGTTACACCTTTGGAAACTAACACTCCAAGTCACTGGCAAAGCAATGAAAGCAGCTGTAGTTGTACAGCTTTTACCAGTAAACACTTTAGCTTCTGTTACAGCCCTACAGATCAGTAAGTTATTAATAGATAGTACTTAATAAGCTAGCAGGACTCTTTCTTACGCATTTAACTGAAATAATCTGTGTGTTTTCACTGAGCTATCTTTGATGAAGCTATGCGGAACTAAATGCCATTTTGGCCTGGTTCTCGCTACTTAGCAAAAGTAACAAATTCATAACCTAGTCAACGATCACCAGGAAGAAGAACTGACATGAGCCTAATGTTCTAACTCCTTATTGCATTAAAGGTCAATAAATAAAACATATCTTCCTCTGCCAAGGTGGTTATAAGTTCCTTGAAAGCACAAATCTTATCTGCGTATCTTCTGCATCATCAGCACCTAGCACAAGGATGGGCAGAGAGTAAACATAAGTAATAGGAGAATTAATTAATTAATCAATTAACAAATTACAGACGAATGATCCTTCACTTGCCTGCGCAGCTTCCACAGGATGGATGTACACCAGCGTGTGCTCCGGACCATCCACTGAAGTGTAGGAGGCACCGTCTGCCGTGTACACCACCTGCTGGGGTGGGCGAACCTGGTCGTCGGTGTAGACGATCTGAGCCACCGTTCCGGCATCGGGAACAAAGTGCACCTGGGGCAAGAAGCAGGCGAGTGTGTAGAACAAAACCAGTCTCACTAAGGTACGTGACCAACCAAGCACACTTGCATTTCTAAAATATCCCTATGACAGAAAAACGGGGATTGATACACCTTCGTCGACACTGGGTTAGTGACTAAGATACAGGATCCAAGGACCTTGTCGCTGATTTACTGCTTAGTATTAGGCAACTGGCTTAAATTCCCCTTTGCCTCAAATGTCCAGTGCAGATAACTCTTTCAGGGAGTCATAGGAGGGCGGCTAATTGATCCTACAAAGGAGACTGAAGATTCCTGCTTGACATTCCCAAAACACAAAATACAGATTATTCTGTGATGGTAAAAAATATGTCAAGACTCAAAAGCCAATTGCTTTCAACGCGTCATAAAAATTCTATTTTATAACTAATAGTGCCTTTCAGCAGACACATTAAAATAAGGTCACTTTCTTGCCTACAAGTTCTTTCAAAGACAAAGGACATACTAGAGGCATATCAGTAAATGCTTGCTGAACCAATGAATATAATATTAATAGAATTCTTCCTTGCCAAGTAGGTAAAGAAACAGAAAATTCTAACAAAGTCCTTTTAAGGGGTTCCGAACAACTATTTCAGCTGGCACCAGGGTAAATAATTTTCTAGCTCCCAAGACCTACAGAACTAAAGCAGAAACTATGTTT